CGTCTTCTGTCAGTTTGTCTCCCAGTTCACCTTCGACCTGCACTTCCAAACCTCTCGACCAGCCCGTCACTCTACAGCCCGACCAGCCTATTGCCCATTCGCCTAGTCCATCTCCCACTTCCACGAATGCTGCCACCGTCCCCATTCATAATTTCCATCACATGCAAACCCGGGCAAAATCCGGTATTTTCAAACCAAAATCAATTTTTACCTTAAATACAGTTGTTAGCACCGATCCTACATGTTTTTCTGAGGCTCATAAAAGTTTGGTTTGGCGTGAGGCTATGGCAGATGAATTTAATGCACTTATTACTAATAATACTTGGGATTTGGTTCCGTTTGATAACTCTAAAAATGTGGTTGGGTCTAAGTGGATTTATAAAACTAAATTTCATTCTGATGGAACCATTGAGCGCCACAAAGCACGTTTAGTCGCTCAAGGTTTCAATCAGCAGGCTGGTGTGGATTTCTCAGAAACCTTTAGTCCGGTTGTAAAACCCACCACGGTTCGTATTGTTCTTACTCTAGCTATTTCTTTTGGGTGGGTTATGCGACAGTTAGATGTGAAAAATGCTTTCCTTCATGGTCACCTTACTGAGGAGGTTTATATGCGTCAGCCCCGGGGATTTGTTCATCCTCAGTTTCCTCATCATGTGTGTCGTCTGCGAAAAGCTATTTATGGCCTTAAGCAGGCCCCTCGAGCTTGGTTTCACCGTTTTAGTAGCTTTCTTCTAACTAATAATTTTTCCTGCAGTAAGTCCGATAATTCCTTATTCATTTATCGTCGGGATCACTCTGTGATTTTTTTGTTATTATATGTCGACGACATCATCATTACTGGTAATTCTCCCTCTCTTGTCTCCTCGTTTATTTCACGTATAGCGTCTCACTTTGCTATGAAAGATCTTGGAGATCTTCATTATTTTTTGGGTGTTCAGGCAGTCCGCAATTCTCAAGGTATTTTCCTCTCTCAGCAAAAATATGTGTCTGATCTTCTTATCCGTTTTCACTTACACACTCTCAAGCCTGTTCGCACACCACTTGCTACTCGCACCACCCTCTCTCTTACTGATGGTGAGCTTCTAGCTGATGCTACTGAGTATCGCAGTATGGTAGGTGCATTACAGTATTTAACTTTGACACGACCTGATATTACTTATGCAGTTCATTTAGTGTCTCAATTTATGCATGCTCCTCGTACTACTCACATGCTTGCTGTCAAGCGTATTTTTCGTTATCTACAGGGCACTTTAAATAATGGATTATGGTTACAGAGGTCAGCCCGTCCACTGTGTATTTTGGCGTACTCCGATGCTGATTGGGCAGGGTGTCCAGATAGTTCTCGATCTACTACAGGTTTTGCGGTCTTCTTGGGTCCTAATCTTGTTTCATGGAAATCCAAGAAGCAACCTACGGTTTCCAAATCGTCTACAGAGGCGGAATATCGTGCTATTGCTTACACCGTACAAGATACATTACACATCCGATCCATTCTATTTGAGCTTGGCTTTCCCGTTCGAGTACCAGTTCAGCTTTTTTGTGATAATATTTCAGCTTCCTATTTGACAGCAAATCCAGTTCAGCATGCTCGTAGCAAGCATATTCAGATAGACTATCATTTTGTTCGTGAGAGAGTTGCTCATGGTGATTTAGTTGTTAAATATGTTCCTACTCATCTTCAGTTAGCTGATATTTTTACTAAGAGTTTGTCTAGTCAGCAATTTCATTTTTTAAAAGACAACCTGCGCGTTGTATCTCCCGCACAGCTTGAGGGGGTGTAATAGCTGATATATTTTAGGAAGATTGTGTATTTTGGAAACTTATATTTTATTATAAATATACCTGCCTGGGCTCCTAAGGGAGTAACCCTTTCCCATTATTTCACAAAATAAGGCAGTGTTGAACTTTGAGAGAGATAGTCGAAGAGGTATTTTGCTAGTAGTGGGAGCTCATCATGGGATTGAAGTTGTGAGGCTTCACCATAGCATGCTGTGGCGGAGGTTTAGACTTTAGATCTCCGCGTCTATTTTGTTTCTGAAGCACTATTATGTTTTTCAGTCTGCGGAAGAAAACTGTAGTTTGTTTTCACATAAAATCAAGGCTGAATTATATGTAGGTTATAGGTTATACATTAGCATTTTGGGATAGGCAAATGTTCTTTGTGCCCCCCCCCCCCCCACACACACAATGATCTACAGCCGTTGAAATTTTTTAACTCTCTGAGTGTAGAGTATAATTTCCTAATGATCCATTTGGTAACATTTCCTATGGTGTAGTTGGTGTTTTTGGTTGTATTTGTTTCTTTGAATTTCTAAAGTAAACATGTTTCATCTTTGACTGGCCAGTGTTATACGATAGTAATTGGTTTCAAAATCTGAGACACACGTCTTTGAAAAATAAATTTAAACAAGATATTCTTGTTCTTAATACATTCCAAATTTAGTTTTTGTTTTCAGAAACTGAAACACAAACAACATTTTCAAAAACATTATTGAAATGTTTTTTAAGAAAAACCTGGCATTTATTAAACTTATTTACAAAGTACAAACGCGAATGACTCAAGCATTCATAGTCAGCTTCACAAATTCCTTGAAGAAGACCCTTGCAAATCATTGTCTTCCCATATCATGACACGTTATTGAAACGTTATAAAAAGAAGAGGGCAAAGTGGTTTCCCAAGAGCATGTTTCGAGCTTTTGGTACGCTTTTATAATGGCCATGTTAGAAAGCTTCTCTTCGGGAACTTGAAAGATACATAATGTTACATTCATTCATTAAAGGTTATAGATGTAGTTTCAAAAGAACTTTGCGGAAAATCATGATAATGTTGAGAATCAGTACTTTTAATGGGAAAATTAATCCATGAACATCCCCAAGTCTTTTTGCCTATTTGTATATGTATAATCAATTTTAAATGTGTGGTGATTTATTTATTTAGAGTTCCAAATCTTTAGGCATCTATTGATTTATAATACGTAGTCTATTATTGGGCCATTCTCCTTTTCTAGTGATAATTTTAGTCGGCAACATGATAAATTCTTTAGAAAACGGTTAGGCCTGGGACAGGTTCGGTTCCTAGGCAAAATATGTGGAACCGTTTGAAAATATGAAATTTTACTAACCGTTCTTAACGGTTCGGATCTTGTCATTTAACGGTTCCTAGTCTTTGAAAAAAATCTTACAAATCACGACTAAATTTTTGTCAAAAAGACATTCAACGTTTGAAATTACAAAACAAATATGTTGAACCAGTTAAAGAGAATAATAGTTTTAAATAGTTTGGACCTTCCGATTTCCCACCCGCTCGAGTTTGGACCTAATGAGAGGCCTAAGAAGCCTAAGAGAACCGGTTGAAGTGAATAATAGTTTTAAATAGTTGAATAACTAAACTAAAATAATGAATGGAATATAAAAATAAATAAGTTAATATACATAAAATATATATACTCGTAAGAAATATATATAATTTTAATTATTATATATAATGGTTCCTTAACAGTTCCTAGTACATATTTTTTTCAGGAACCGAGAACCGAACCGTTAATAAAAAATAGGAACCGAACCATTAACAAATAACTAATAAATGTTGGAACCGAATCGAACCGGGTCATAACGGTTCGGTCCGGTTCGGTTCTCCGGTTCTTGGTTCCAAAGTCCCAGCCCTAGAAACGGTTGAGAGTTGTTTTTTATATTGCACAAATAGATTCGAAGTATGTGAGAATCCCAGGACGCAAAGAAACAAACTGTCAAAATGCCACTTTTTTACAATGTAGGACATATATATTGTGTTAACAGTAAATGCTTAAACTATAATAACTTATTTGAAAATATACAAGGTAGAGATGAGCTTTTAGTGGGGTGACATAGAAAACAGATAGGTGATTTGAGAAACACAAACTAATTGCTTTTGAATCTTTAATTACATTGTACTCCGTAGTTATTAGTGTAGAGCAGATCCTCCTTTGAGTGACAAAAACGCTCCTACACAGGAGTGGTTGCTATATTATTTGCCTATGTTCCTATCAAGTTAATTAGTTACCCATATTGTTATATATTGTTGTAAATATCTTCTTTTCCACTTTCTAAAGTTTAATTAACTCTTCATTTTGGTTTCAAAATCTCCCAAACAAGTTGTCCATTTCACGGATTATAAAATTACGGTAAAACTGAAGAAACATATTTATGTGTTTTATGATTGCATTGATCATGTGTTTGCGATGATTTTCACTTCAGTTTTGGAGCTTTATAGGCTTTCTACTAGCTATACTTTCCTAGCGCCCTTGAATTACGAACTTAGGGTTGGTTTGAAACTGTTTTTAAAAAAGCACTTCTCAGCTTTTGGCTTTAAAAAAGCACTTATTTTCTCAAACACTACAACTTTTATTTTTCTCGGCTTCCGCGTCAAAAGTGCTTTTACTTTTTCTATTACACAAAAAGAACTTATTTTACCAAACACTACCCACTTTTACTTTTCAAAATCACTTTTTTCTCAAACACTATCAACTTTTATTTAATCACTTGTCCCCATTTCATTTAAAAAAACACTTTTTTAAAAACAGAAGCTGTTGCAAACAGACCCTGTTTGCTACGATTTGGACTACGAATTATTTAAGTATTTGATAGTAACATGCAAAAACTAGATATTTCTCCGTATATCAAAAGGTAAATAGCAATTTTCCCTTATTTTCATGAGTCATCAGTCATTGTCACTATATTTTTAAACTTTTTTTACTTCAAAACAGAGAAATCCGGCTCATTGCAAGTTGCAACAGCATTTCATCATATTAAAAGTATCATAACAATTAGATGAAAGACTAATTGTCAAAAACAAAATTAGCACAAAATTTTAGACTAATTTTGTAGGGCTTCTAGTGAAAGAAACCCTTCCAAAAATTCTCTAAGGCTTAGGATGAACCTAGGCCAAAGAGGGGGTTTGGAAATAGTTTTCAACCAGCAATAGACGCGCCTCGGTTATTACCTCACTAGCTGCGTCATTGCCCCAAGCGCAAAGATGAGTCAAATGTGGAGCTGCCTTTCGTTTTTATAATAGATCATTCCCCTCCCTCTTCTCTATTTAGCCGGTGTGGGAAAGTTAACCGAATATTAGATTAAAAAAAGACCTCCATTCCATATGCCTATACGAATCTGCGGCATCAACCGTCAACGTTTGGCTCAAATCGAAGGTCTGTTTTTCCACTGTCTCGTTAAATTTATGTAACTAAGGTTTATGTTATCGTTATTCGTTTAGATTCACTGAATTTCAATCGAACCAATCTTTAGTATACTCATGAGAAACTCTGTGGAGCATTTGTTTGCTGTTAAAATGCTTGGTGGCTGTGATTTTCCTGCCCAATTCTCGGTGATCGTTATTTCGTACTCATGGAAGCATAATTGAAGTCGAATTTAGGGTTCTGAATGCAGAAACTAAATATAACTTTCCCAGAATCCCAGCTCGGTTCTTAGGTTCTGTTTAGGATTTTGAATTGAATATTGCTATTATTAGTATTTTGAATTTAATTATTGGTTGTTGAATACTTCAATCGGTCGATGAAATGCAAGAGTAACTGTTTTTGTGCTGTCAGATCTGCATTAGTGAAGTGTGTTGTAGAGAAGAGTTGCTAGGCTGATCGTATTATGGAAGGAGTTAAGGGAGACGATGATGATGGCGGCACACTGGCCCCACTGGTGAAGTGGAGAAGCGAGTTCTCTAGAATGTTCAGGCACTACCTGGATAGGTCTGTTCCTTACACATATAGGAGATGGCTTGGAACAGTAGCGGCTGCGTCAGTATATGTATTACGGGTTTACTATGTTCGTGGTTTCCATATCATATCCTATGGTGTTGGAACCTATCTTTTGAATCTGCTGATTGGATTCCTATCCCCCAAATATGATCCTGAACTTGAAGCTCTTGATGGGCATGCTAGAGATTCCGATGAATATATACCATTTGTTCGCCGTCTCCCTGAATTCCTGTTGTGGTGAGTTAGCTGTTGTTTTTTTTGCTGTAATGAACTGCCAAAGCTTCCAAATTTCCTCTCTTGTTGCTTATTTTCTGTGCTGAGAGTAGTTCTGCTATGTTCGATTAGTTTTTCCCCATCTTTTGATGTGTTTTTAGTTTTTTCCACTTTCTTGTTGATTAATTAATTGAGCCTTACAACCATTTATGTTTGAGGAAGGATATGTTCAGAAATAAAACACTAGTGCCTGGCTTTGCCTCCATATTATTTGTTTTCTCTTCTGAACTACTATTCTGAATCTCTTTTTAATTTGAATTAACGATCTCGTGTGCAAAATTGGAACTGTGATTATTAGTTTTCACATTGCACACCCTCCATAATAAGTAGTTCTTCTAGATTTTTTAATGTTCTATACTTCTCTTTTCCATGTGCACACTTCCCATGTGCACTTTTTAACGGTATTTTTGGATCAGTAAATGCTAAGATAATGTACAGATGCTACGGAAAGTTATTTGCTTATGTTTGGTTTTATATTTGAAAATACAAAGGAAAATGCAAGATTGTTTATTTAGTATTCTAACATGCATTTAGATTTCTTAGACTTTATATTCATTAATAAATAAATAATTTGAATTTGAAAAGAACATCTCTATTTAAATACTCTTTTATTGTTTGACCAAATCTTTTATTTTCCACCAAACCTTCCTATTCCTTTTCTCCTAGTGTTTCCAAGATCCAATTGGACTGTAAATGTTTGGTCATTGCAATTTGAATATCAGGGGCAGTCTTGTATGCAGCAGGAGTGGCTTACACTGAGGTGGCATAAAAATGTATTGTTGCCTTGTTTCTTGTAGCCATACCTAGAGTGTGATGTAAACTTGTTATTACTGCTAATGAAATACCAGATGTATGGATATGATATGATCCACACACAGTAGTCTAATGGACTGAGATGTTAAAACTAAACTACCTGTTCATCCTATCACCTAAATAAATTTTATTCATTCTTCAAAAGGTCAATTGATTTTCCTTTATGGTGACTCCAATGCAGGTATGCAGCTACAAAGGCTTTTGTTGTAGCTTTTTTTATGACATTCTGTTCGCTTTTCGATGTCCCGGTCTTCTGGCCAATATTGCTTTGTTATTGGATTGTGCTTTTTGTTCTTACCATGAAGCGTCAGATAACACACATGATTAAGTACAAGTATGTGCCTTTTGACCATGGAAAACTGGTGAGATAGACTTCTATCGTCATGACTAATGAGCAGTTAGCTGTTCATTTTTATTGTCACTATTTTCTTTTTTGTTTCTGTATTTTTTCTTAGTTAAACGGAATGTTTGATAAAGCAGTGTTGAAATTTGACAGAAATACAGTCGGAAGAGGTCGGCTGCAAGTAATGGGGGCTCATCAAGTGGTTAAAGTTGCGTGGGTTCGCGATAGCATGCTGTGGCTGAGGTTTGGAGAATCACATCTTTTTGTTTCTGAAGCATTTTTGTGTAATTGTGTTTCTCAGTCTGCTGAAGAAAAACTATAGTTTGCTTTGACATAAAATCAGGGCTGATGTACAGAAAGATTACATGGTAGCATTTGGAATAGGCTAATGTTCTTTCATGCCTCCCCATGGCAAGAACTCCTCTGGGCGCAGAGTATATGTAGTCAATCTGTATCCTTATTTTTTAAAGTAGTCCATCTGTATCCTAATAACTCGTTTATTTAACAATTGCTGTTGTGCAGTTTTTGTTTTAAATACTCCAACTAATTTGCAAGTAGTGAATGAAACTAATCTGCAACTATTTTCATGTTCTTTCATGCCCCCATGTTTTTAATTGGACTGAAATTTTCTGGTCTAAACTGGTCTGGTCCCTATGTATTTTATAGCTATTCAGGTCTGGTTTGGTCTGCTGTGGATTGGGACTGAAAATAGTCCAAGTAAAAATATCCTAAGAGCGAGTCTAACGTCTTAGAAGTCTTGTGGGCATGAATGCATATAGATTTTTAAGAATTAATTCGATAATTATCTTGCTTTGCTAGTTGAAGGTTTTAGTTTTGAAATGTTGGAAGACTTGAGGTAATCTGAACGTTTATAGTGTCATATTCTCTCCAACGTTGTGTAATACACAGGCGCATATATATGCGGTTGTGTAAAGTTCACATCAATAAATTGTACTCCTTACTCCGTATATTCAATTTTTTTCTCCCCCAATGCTAATAGTCTCTGATTATGTGCGGCTGGTTTGGCAAAAAACGACACTATAAAGGGATCTTTTTCAACTAGATCACTCATTGTAATTATGCTAAATTCTAATTACAATTTACATGATAGCTTCCTATAGAATACCTATAGTTGAATTCTAAATTATTCACATTATCACATATCATCATATCATAGAATCCATAGATAGAAAGGGATAAATAACATTCAAATATAAAATTTCCATTGACATTCCCAATATAAAAATCAACCTCAGATTAATCGGTTAAAACCAAGTTTAAAGGAAGGACTACCTTTTCTTTATAAGGTAGGAGTAGTTTGTTAAATAGAATGTTTTTTTATACAAAGAAAACTAAGTAGGAGTGGATCACCCTGAGGCAGCAATTCCAGCAACGGTTTTCTTTATTTTGGCATACACTAACTTAACTTATTCAAAAGTAAACCTTATTACAAATAGCAGCATTACATATATATATTACGAAGTGTGACTGCAAAAAAAAACAAACATCCAATACATGGTGGCCGGGGCATGACGTACAAGCCAGCACCGTTCACGAGCTGATTCTCGCATGAAGATGATTTGATGAGCTGCTGTCGGAGGTAGCAGCAGAAGCCTTGTTCGGCACATGAAACTGAAAAACATACTGGTGAACCGCCTCCTCGGGTGGTGGTGGCTCGTTTAGATGTGCCCAATTGCTCTTTACCCACCTACACCCAATCATCCATTCCCTCCATTAATATTAAAGTCTATATTGATAAACTATGGAGTAATAAAGCAGTATAGTAGATCATGAGCTATGCTTCCCATCAGGTTTATTTTTATTTTTTTGATAGAATTCTGGGTCTTAACATACCGTCAGAGACAAACCAATCCATAACAATAGGTTGTGACCCTATGAAAAATAACGATGTGATTATAGAAAATGACAATAAAGAACTAATGAAAAATGAATGATGGCACGATTCAAACGAAATGTATGATAAGATCATGGGATACTTCTCATATGAGTTTGAGGATACAAACTCGAGTCTTAACAGATAATCAATGTAATTAGCTGTTAAAGAAAATCCCAACAATGTGTGTGGTTTAAGTATTAAGTAAATAATTACCAGCCATGTGTCTGGGTCAATTTATCCAGACTGGTTTGACTATCTGCCGGGTCAACAACAATACCCTCCTGGATTTCATTGAGTAGTTGCCCTGATGAGCTTGAGCTTGGGTGGTAGTGATTATCCTCTTCCTTCTCCATTTCCTTCTTGTCCTTCTGCTCTTTCTTTGATCTCCAATAAGAATTTATTTCCTCCTTTGTTAATGACTTATTTCTCTTGTACTTCACTGAATATTTAAGGAGTATAACAAAACGGGAGTTAAAAAGTGCACTACTATTTCAATTCTCTTATTAAATTACTTAAAATGAAGTAAAAAAAAACAGTGCTTACCTGCTTTAGGATCAGAAACCAGTGAATCCCAACCCGGCGTGAGAGAACCCATCTTCTACATAAGAGTTTCAAAACCAAAATCTTTTCTTTCTAAGAAGTTCTTAATTAGCCCAAGACAGTGTTTGTTTTCTTTTTATAGGTGATATTTACGTAGGTGAAAGTTTTTGATAGAAATTTTGTAAGCATGTTTTTATGCGGCTTCATGAAGTGTGGATTATCTTCACGCGATTTTAGCTTAAAATTTCATCGAAAAGTTAATTAAATAAATTATTTAAAAGCGCGATGTGGCGAGAGATGAAGTACCACCGTACCGAAATTATCAGTAAGGGTGTTCATGTCCATTCATTTATTATCAGTCTCTTTTTTGTCCAAATTGAATATGTTACGGAGTAATTTTTAGTGGAAAATACCAATTTTTATCTAATGAAATGTTTATAATATTATTTTTGTCATTATTCCTTTTTCATATCTAACATTTCTAGGCCTTTTAGTGCATGTTTGTGAATAGGAATTATTGGATTCGTTTGGTTCGGTTATGTAAGTGAGGGAAGCAGCTTAATTAATTCCAATTGTTAATATTATCCACCCATTCTCATATCGAGAAAGAGCTCTGATCTGTCAATATATATGTAGAAATATTATCTTTCAGCATTTAGATAGACATGAAACCCAACATTTTGGAAGGTTTGGGAAGTCTTGACCATACTCCAATTTCGACTGCGGTTTTAGAAGTGATTCTTTCCCGGGCGCCAGCAGATTTGCATGGCAGGCTTGCCTTATCCAATTTTCGTTTGCAACTTGCAAGTATGGCAGTTGCTTGTGATGCTCATCAACATAACTAATTTACTTTTAATGACACATCATTCTTGAGGAAATTTCCATGCTAAAACGTGAACGAATACGTGGCACGCGAGATAGTAAATTAAAAAAAATAGAACCTCAATGTAAGTTTTTTTCACAATGTCAAGCACAATGTCTAGATGTAGACATTGTGCTTGACATTGCAGAGTAAAACTTGCCAAAAACACATAAAACCGTGAAAAGAATGAGAGAGAAATATTATAAATTCATTTCTTTGTGTCTATCTCTCTCATGTCACATCTTAGTTCTGTTCCATTAGACATTGTCAACTTTGAGTTGATTGTAAAATAAGAAGAGTAAAACTTATTTGACTTCCTTTCAAATAAAACTTATTTGACTTAGACTTGTGCAGGTGATTGAGAATTGTGCAGATAGACAAGGAGAACCACAAATTCAATACATTGTTGTAAAAGAAAAGTGAAAAAAAAAAATCTAGACTAACAAAAAAAAGGAAAATTGATGAAATGTTTAATGTTATGAGATAGAGGGAGTGCTAAGAATTATATGCGTCCAATTTTTTGTATCTCCACCTAGCCGGACAAATTTTACTCTTCATCCTCCCTCTGGCAAAGCCCATTTGAGGGTTTTTGGATCGAACTTTTTGATGAATTTTTTTGAACAAGTTCCTCATTAAATGTGAATTATCTCATTAAAAATTTCATTTTAAATTCAATCGGGAAATCAGTTAAATAAATTATTGAAACATATGTGCTTTATTTAAACATATGTGAAACAATTTCTAAAAAAACAATATTTGTAATGGAAGTGCCATCTTTATTACAATTCCACAATTTGATCAATCCAGTAAGTGTAACTTTTATGTACACACGTTATTATTATTATTACTGTTTACTTATCCTTGCAACCAACACGACAACCATGGCGACGAGGGCGCTTTGAAGGGTTCTCTGTTTCAGAATCACTCTCCAGAAGAAGACCTCTGAGGCATCTCCTTCTAAGAGTAGGAGTAGGCTGTGGCTCATGTGTAAATTTTTTCAGCTGAACAGCCTTGTGAGCTTGAATGGGGGCTGTTTCGTCATTTGAGTTCACAGGTTCTGTTTGCAAACATGATGGTATTTGCAAACTCACCCCAGGATTTCTTTCTGTGATTGTACAGTCTACCAGGATCGCATTGTTCACTCCTTGAACATTGGAGTTGGCATAAACCGCCAGAACTTCCTGTTCTTGGTTGGTTTCTTGGCTGTTCGATTTTCTTCCCGCCTCCTCTATATCAGTGGTGATGATCACTTCGTTGTCGACAATGCGGTGGTCATTGTGGTTTGATTTATAAGCTCTGTGGATGTGGATGGGACGCTCCTTAGATGACGGGTCGAAGCCTAGCTGCATGGATGCCCCTTTGTTATCGCCTGCAAGCGTTATCACTTTTACTGCCCCCAGCACATCTTCCATGGATGATTGCATCTCCTTTTTATCTTTCTTCTGAATAAATACTTGCTGCTTCTGCTTTTGCTTCTTGTCCTGCTGCTCATCATTGACCACTTCTCTAGTTTCTGGTCCATCAGAATTGGATGCCTTCTCTGTATGCTCCACCTCCTTTTGCTGTTCAGTTGCTTCTGGCTGCTTTTTTGCCGTCTGTTCCTCTGTCATTTCATGTTTTGCTGCGCTATGATTACGACCATTCTCCCCTGTCTCTGGCAGTATTTCATTATCTTTTACGACGCCTGAGTTCGGAGGAGGTGGGGCGGTCTCTTGTTGACTTTCTGTGAGGGCAGCAGTTAGTTTTTCTGATAGGATTTCTGGAGCTGCTCTATGGCTGCTAGCCTCAGAAAGTCCATCAGATTCCATAGTATCGGTTCCTGATACTATGGAAGGTGGTATGGTCGTGTCGGGTGGCTGAATAAGCTCTTTTGTTTTTGAAATGGTTTCCTGAAGTGCTGCTTGGTTAGCCTTTACTTCACTGTCAGGAACCAAAACTGGGGACTGGGGAGGAGAAAGAGGAGGAGAATGAGGCTTTCGGCTCGGAGAGGAACGGGGTGGGGTGGGTGGCCGTGAAGAAGGCCTAGATGGGGATGGGGGTTCAGGTACTGAGTGCACTTTTTCAGAGGATTCTACTCCTAAAAGAGGGGCATCCCGAGTAGTAGGAGACAACGGCGGGGGAGGAATTCCCTCCACATCTGGTGCCGGGTGCACTTTAGCCGAGGATTCCCCTCCTGATGGAGGGGCACCCTCCACAAGAGTAGTAGCAGGTGGTGCCAAACGTGATGGAGACCGAGGAGGAGGAGAACGAGCCTTGCGGCTCGGAGAGGAACGGGGTGAGGATTTAGGTGATGTAGTCCGAGTGGGGGAAGAGGATCCTTGCGGTGAAGCAGTCCCTTGCCGCCTTTGAGCCGCGGCAGCCTGGTCGGTGTTCTGGCTTGGTCCTGTTGAGGCCTGAGTTGGGGGTCGGGCTTTGGGTTCAAAGAGTTTACGAAACCATGCCATTTGCAAAAAACAAAGGAATGGGTATAAATTTTAACTTAAGGCCTTGGGGGATGCTATTGTTGATTGGATTTCTGCTAATGAAATATGGCATCAAAAAGCATTTATATATGCATATGTTTTTTGCATTTTGAGGATACAACGAAGAAGAAACTTTTCAATTTAGCTTTCCAGCTTCTTTACCTTTTCTTGGGGATTACCAACTGCTCAAATATGCGTGGGATGGAAATAATTCTACAAAGACAATCCCCTCACCGCCAAGATTAGCATCTAACTGGTAAGTAGGCAGGGGTTCTTCCTCTCTCTCGCCAGTGGGATTCTATTCTAATTAGCATCAAACTTCCCTCCTACATTCTCATTAGCTTCTGGGAAAATGGTAAAAATATTACTTTTTCATCGTTAAAGACGAAGTATGTCTAGTGTTCGTTTTTTTTCGAAAATGTGACTAATCTTTATTTAATTAATACATTTTTCTTTTAATTCTAATTCCTACCCCACTTGCCATCCCTGCCCCACTACCTTCTCCGGCAACAATTTCCCGCAGAATCCGCCACCGGTCGATGTCAAATTTCGATGATTTTTTTCCTTCTTAGGTTTTTTTAAAAGTTCCACCAGAATTTTTTATGTTTTTTTAATTTTCGCCGCAAAAAATTCTCTATCGATCACAATGGCATGTTTCACGGCAACAGTGACGTTTGTTGGTGACATAAAACTAACAGTGATATAAAAATTCTCTATCGATCACAGTGGCGTGTTTTTCGAATTTATTACCTTGTTAAAATGTTTTGATTCCCCTTTTACTCTTACATGGAACCAGCTTGGGTCCACCCGACATGGGACCCACAATAAGGAGTATACAAGCAAATGTTGTGGAACATCAATAGTATTCCACGTTGGTACATGAGGTCATTAAACTAAAACATTACTCTCAAAGTCATGGACATACATTTGTAAGTGTACACACTCAAATTCTCTATCATCTGTGGACTTTGATGTAGGGGTGGGATTTTGGAACCGGAAACCGTAGAACCGATTGGAACCGAACCGTTAACAACATCTAGGAACCGAACCGTTAACAATTAATACCTTATTTGTAGGAACCGAACCGAAACGAGTTATAACGGTTCGGTTCCTGGTTCCTATAAAAAATATATGCATGGAACCGTTAAGGAACCATTATTAAAAAACTAAAAAATAAAATAATAATATTAGTAGTAGTAGTAGTAGTAACAATAATAATAATATAATAGCAATAATAACCACCGCCACCACAACAATAATAAAACAATATAAGATATTTAACTAACAATTCTAATTTAATCAACAAAAATGAAGTAATAAATATTGTACATGAGGTTGATATAATACATTGAACTCCTTTCTACAAATCAAGTTTTGTTCCATCACATAAATTTTATAAATACAAAATAACTCAAATAACTTGTAGTTGATTGCACATGTTTTACTTTACTATTTTCATGATATTTCTAATTATTAGATTTATTATGAATCAATAGAATGTAACAATGTTTTTATATATCTATACATGCAAACTCAATGTATTTTTTTATGTTTTGAAAGACTTCAAGTAGACGTCCTATTCTTTCTACTATGATGACGAGTAACCTTCATCGCTCCCACACTACTATGATTTTTATGTTTTATTTATCACATGAAAATTTAAATCATCTTTTGATGTTTGAAGTGATTAGAGCTTCAAATAAAATTTTAATACTCGTGTTTTGAATTTTCGACGTGTTTATGTTGTTTGTAGAAAGTAAATTATTTATTAATTCTTAGTGAGAAAAAATTATTCTAGGAACCGGTAAAAGGAAGAACCGAACCGTTTACTACCGGTTCGGTTCCATAACGGTTCTTGATTTTTTATATAGGAACCGAACCGATTTCATTAGTTAAAACTTTTATAACGGTTTCACTCATTTTGAGTAAGAACCGAACCGGTCCCAGCCCTACTTTGATGCACATTGATGTACAAAAAATATTTTACATACAGCATTTCAGAAGCTTTGTTTAAAATGTCCATTATATAACGTACAAGTTACACTTAAATTCTAGGTTGTGGAAATATTACTTGACTATACATGACCTTACGTGTCAGTTATTGCAAATTTTTATGCTTAGTTGAGCAGAAAGGACCTGAAATGTTATTTCATCAATTTGCAATGTTTGAACAATATCTTATTCATTTGAATCAAGAGAAGAGATAGTCACATTTTACCTTTTCTCCTAGCGTGGTAACCTAAGCAAAGAACAAAATGGAACACTTACTTTTCAGGCAAAGTTAAACCGATAGGGATTTATCTTCCTAACACTAGTAATCCAAGCAAAGAACAAGTAGATTAATCGCGCTTTAGGCAAGTAATCAAGATTTGTCATCATTTAAGCAGCACATCTAATCATCACCATATCATCTATATTAATTAGGGGTAATAATTATTAACTAAGATCACATCTCTAATCCCAGATTTTCCTTTTTCATCAAAAAACATGCAAGGCCTTCTGCGGGCAGCGAGAATGTGCCACGAGAAGCTAGAGCTTACGATTTTGGGCAAATCACAAGCAAAAAACGCAAGGCAAATCAAGGGCATAAATGACATATCGGTGATGGAATCGCCAAAAATGCAGCACAAGGGGCTCGAGAACACAACGGTGTCAGATGTATTGGTGACCAAAGAAGAACATAATATTAGCTCATGGCTTAGCTGTAGGATTGAAGACACCGTTTACAACGCCGCAAAGCAAGTATGTTCCATACCAAAGCTCAGGCCCCCTTTCGTAACATTAATAATCTTATTCTATAGAATAAACAAAATAAGTAGCATTTGACTTTTATATTTTGCTGAAATAGATATTACCAAATGTTAAAATTCAGAAGATTCTGTCATTTTAGCCAAATACCCCTTACAAAACGAGTACAAAGTTTAACATGGTTCTATGCTTAGCTTCATGGTTACTAGCTTTGATAGAATTATAATGCTAATATAATTTTAACACACACAAAGATGGCTCAAAACAACATTGGCTCATTGGTGGTTCTAAAGCCTGGTGACCAACATCAGATAGCAGGAATCATCACAGAAAGGGGTATGAATCTCTACAACTATTTTTTTTTAAGTTATTACATCTACCTCTCTCTGAGGTGTGGTCAACACACCAAACCGCTCTTGAGATTTCTTAAAATTATAAATGGAGCCTGTGGTTAGTTAGATTTTCTCAAAAAAGGTACTACGTACATGATATAATAATGCTAGTAGAAAATAAGTTTTATAGACTATTATTTATAACATTTATTCCGAAGACCCTCTTTGGAGAAATATTAAAATATACGGAGTATTAGCCAACAAAGTGCATAAAATGCATTACAGACACCAAGACCTGGAACTATCTTGTTTGATATCATTATAATTTATTATTAGTCAAAGCTCAAAGGGCTACTTTGTGATTTTCAGAAACCTTGAGGGTCATTTGATGAATAGAACAAACTTTGAGATGTAGATGCAATTAATCCTGTTTTACGTTTAACTTACCTAATGAAATTACAAATTTATGAGGAAAACAGATTATGTAAGGAAGATGGTTGTGCAAGACAGATCATCCAAGCACACAAGAGTGGGAGATATAATGACTGACCAGGTTTTTAGCGGATGCTCCCTTACTCAACATCACATATTTTTCATCTTAGCTTTCTCCCAACTGTCCTGTTTTGTCGCAACAGAGCCAATTGATAACGGTCACATCTAACATGAACATTCTACAAGCTATGCAGATCATGTCAGGTAATTCTAATAATTTATGCAATAGTTATGCCTCGTGTACACGCCAATTCTACACGCAGGCCAAATTGTCTACCGAGCACAGACAATTTGACCAGCGTGTAAAATGGCGTGTACAAAAAGCATTTATCTTTATGCAAAGGCAGCAAATGCAAAACTGTGGTAACTGCAAAAGAATATTACAACTTGTTATTATGATCGTAGAGAATCACATACGGCATGTTCCAGTGATAGACGGGAAACTTGTGGGTATGATCTCGGTCGCGGATATTGTCCGGGCAGTAGTGGAGCAACAGAGAGGAGAAGTTAAGCAACTGAATGAATTCATCAGGGGAGATTACTATTGATTCTACTTTGCCCAAAGCGGAAGGAAAATAAAATAGATAGAGAAACAGAAAAACCCATAGTCAACTGTAACTCTAAGTCTGTTCTTTAAGTCATAGTTGCGAGGAAAATATGGCGTTCTCAAGGGGCAAAGCCACCTCAAATGTAAAACACTTAGCAAGTTTGCAATAGTTGAATTCCATAACAATGTATTACCAAGAGAAATAAAGGATAAATTTCATATTAAAAAAAATCAATCTTCATTTACCCCAGTGCCGCAAAGGCTCCCATCTACGGTGGGGTAAGGGGAGGTCGGATGTACTCAGTCTTACCCCTGTACTAAAGCTCAGAGAGACTGTTTCCGGATGACCCATAATGAAAATCGCGTCCAAAATTGCATGGACTGACTGTTGCTTCATACAAAGAAGAGCAGGCAGTTTGGTGAGTCATTTTGCTTTATTCCATCATATTCTCAAGCCAAAAAATAATGAATCTTTGGCTTCATTGCAAATGATGGAAATTTGAATTGGCAACATGTACTCCATCAAAGGATAAATTTCATATAACAGGAAAAAAATGTACATTATTTGATTTATTTCCATACCAGAATATATAAATTTGAATTGGCAACATGGTTAAACCAATACAGCAAGAAACTTAACAGTGAAGATGTAAATCGAAATCAAGCCCAGGCACTTGAATGTCCAAGGCAAGGTCTGAAGGTCAACTAAAAAGCTATGTTATTAAAGTCGTACCGGGAAGCAACTTGGCCAAGTGCGGTGTCGATCCTACATAAATTTGGACCTGAGTCAAACTTTAGATAAAGGCCCTACTAATAGTAGTAATTTTCATTATATAATTTTTTATATACTAAAAGAAGAAATAAATAATTATATATAAATATATATGACTAAAATAAAAAGTTGTTTATAATAATGACTATAATAGTAACTTACCATAGTAACTTGTGCTCAAATTTTACATTTAAGTGACCATAACACTACATTATAGTAATTATTAGTCATATTTTAAAAAAATAAGAATCAATTTGCCTAAAATCACTTGATGGAATAGGAGTTCGAGTTTGAGTTACTCCAATAACTACAGGGAATGCCATAGTAGAGCTAAAGCCAATAGCCGTAGCAATGAAAGCTGTCTATCAGAAGGTAGGAAAGTTCCGTCTTCAGCTGAGGAAATGTTGTGAACATAAAAATAAAATCAACGGGGTGAATCGCTACTCAGATAATCCACGATAAAAAAATACCGTTGCCTAGAGCTAAAAGGCTAAACCAATTTTTATTCCAAAATGAGCAAGAATGAATCCTAACAAGGGGTTTAAATACTCATCTACTAATTCTCAAACTAGGAAACAAAATCTTAGAAATCCTAATCAACTCCAACTAGGAAACAGAATAATAAAGATCCTAATCAACGTCAAATAGGAAACAAATAATATAAATCCTAATTAACTCCTAATAGAAAACAAATATTAGAAATCCTAATTAACTCCAGCCCACGAAGGTGGGCTCAAGCCCGTCCCACTTTTAGTAAATCCACGGGGGCTTCTACCCCTCTTCTTCCAAGCCCAGATTCTGCTTCATATAAGGAAAGGTACGAAGTGACTCGACTGAAAGGAGAGGGATGATCTTGTTACTGCTTCAATACATATGAAATAGTTCCAATATCGGCACAAAGATAAGCAGGAAATGGTGTAACATCAGAGTGAATAGTTGATGTAGCTGGTAACTCATTGACCTCTGCAGCTTCTCCGAGCTATCTATCTCTAATTCATTTACAATTTAGTTTCAGTAATATTTTTCAAAAAACCTCCAAAAAGAATCAACCTCATAACAATAACTAATTAAATAAGCTTCTTCCAATATAATATTAAAACCCAAATGTATTAATTAATTAAAAATTATATACTCCATATAAGTAATGAATAGGAATTTCTATTTTAATGGGCCAAAAAATGGGCTAACATATTAGGGTTAGAAGTTCTAACCCTAATAACTTAGAACCAATCACGTACTAATATCTGGTATAGAAATAAGTATATAAACAATGAAGAACTATTGAATTTAATTGTAAATCAATGAAAACATTTTGGTAAAGCACGATCCAACAGAAATTCAATAATTAACTCTAAATTGAAGTAGAAGAAGAAAAATGAGTAACTAATTAACAAGTCAGTCCTTTCATAATTTACGAACCAATAATATACAATAAAAAATAAAAAAAAAATTAATCAGAAAGAAAGGAAATTTTGAGCATGAAGAACATATTCCATCTGAAAATAAAACAATCATTAGTTCTAACCATCTCGCAATACATAATTTTAGACTTGGATGTGTTTTGGGAGTTCCCTTTCTTCAAAAGGGAGAGGGTGTGTTCTGCAGCGTCGATGAGGTCCTCAATGTTGTGTCTGGATCGCTCGTCCGCACCCAGAAGAAATATGGACTGAGCCTCAGCTTTCTTCTGCAACCAACTTAGCCGCAGAGAAGGAGAGTTAAGACTCCTAAGCATCTGGCGATACAGAGAGAGAACCTTTCCCCTATTCCTTGCCAACTCCTCTGTTGTTGCCCATATAATCCCCATTACCAATTCTCACTTCGTTGAAAAAGCCACAAACAGAAGATCTATGATAGTGTAAATGAAACTTTGAAATTATATAATCCGATTCCATCACAGCTCTGTTCTAGGATTCAACAGTTAGTCCCATTTTTTTTCTACTATTGCATATCACAATTTCTTGGTTCCACATTTGGATACAAATTTTAATGCTCCTCAAAGAGATCCTTGTATATATAGAAGATTTTTGGGAAAACTGTCAGATAGGTCCTCGAACTTTCATAAAAAAGTCAATTAAGTCCTTCTATAGGAGGTTCTGTCCGGTCGTCGCAATTTGGAGTAGTTCCCGGTGGAATTTTTTGATGAAATTTTTTGAGCATCTTATTCACCAAGTCTAGTTTACTCATACCAAATTTCAACTAAAAATTCAATCGGGAACACATTCAAATTAATTCTTGAAGATAACTGCGCATTTTTGCGTTCTCGAATTAATTTGAATGTGCTCCCGATTAAATTTTTAACTGAAATTTGGTATGAGTAAACTAGACTTGATGAATAAGATGCTCAAAAAAATTCATCAAAAAATTCCACCGGGAAACGCCCCAAATCGCGATGACCGGACAGAGTCTTCTATAGAAGGACTTAATTGATTTTTTTATGAAAATTCGAGGACCTATTTGACAATTTTCCCAAGATTTTTTGGCCCCCTATTTTTTAAAAATAATTTGGGGCCCTAGCCATGTGACCGGGTCACGAATCAATCCAATCAACCCGGTCAATATTTAAAAAATTAATACTTCGTAGCACTTGATGTATACTTCTTCCATCCCTTATTTTTTTTTTTAAGGAAAATTTTGTGTAACTACAATATTTTTACTTCATTCTCATTTTCTTAAAATTTATGGGACGGAGGCAATACTACATATTAGTATAACATGACATTAAATGGTAAGTGATACAATAATGAAAAATTGTAGTACTTATTAAACATTGAAAAAAAACATAAAATTTAAAATAGGTTATAATCATCATTTATATTTCAGAGAAATGTTTGTGATACATTTGAATATTTATACATGAAAATTATGTCAAAAATCAAAATTGTTTTTAAAAATATGTCAAATATTTGGAATGTTATTTAGATGATAGGGAAGTATAATGATAGCAACAAGCCAATAACATGGACCCATTATTATATTATTAACTCCGTATTCTTTAGTGTTAAATAATAATTTACAATAACACTTTGGCTTGCTATTTAGGATAGATATCAAAGGTACAATTACGTTATAGTAAAATAGGCGACCAGCTTGTGGCAGTGGTAGAGTGGGATGCCATCTGTGTGCCTTGCGGGTTTTTGGGGTTTTCATGGGTTTTACTTGATTGAAAGGGTTGTTAAGCAGTCGGACCAGATGGGATGACGGGTCACCGATTTCCGGGTCGACCCAGCTGGTCCGGTCCTGTTCTTGTAACACAACCGAAAAGACGACTTAAGAGAACAAGCCATGAACTTGATGAGCTTGTTGAATATAAGGTTATCAAGTTGTTGCCTTGCAAAATGAGCTCGTGAGTACAACAGTAGAGGCTCAGACTCAGTGAATTATCATAAAAACAATTCTATAGAGCTATCCTCTGGTTTCCTTCAATTTGCGAATCCTTTGAGCATCACGCATAAACCCACCAGATTCAAGTCCCTCTATGATCCTGTCAAAGTCCTCCATTTCCAAATGCTCCTTATTGGCCTCCACAACACTAAGAGATTGCAAAGCCTTCTTCTCAACCCCACCCCTTGCATACATTGCACAAAGACTAACATTGACTTTGACAGGAGGCGTCTCACCCATCCTAGCAATCTTATCCACGACCTGTTCAGCTTCATCAATGAGATGTAATCTACTGAACCAATCCACCATAACAGAGTAAGTAGCAACTCCAGGTTCAAAACCATCCTTCTCGAGCTCAAGCAGAAGATCCACAGCCGTGTCCAAACAATTCCCCTTCATATAAGCTGCAATCATGCTAGCTGTACATCTATCATCTGGTTTGGCTTTAAATCTCAACAGGCGATCAAAATGTTTCCTAGCTTCATCATATTTTCCAACCTTCCCATATGCATCAACGATTAGTGCTTGGGATTCTGAATCAGGCTGAAATCCAGCCAACTGCATAAAAGTGGATATTTTTACAGTCGAGTCATGATCACCATCTTGAGCATATGATCTCATTAAAGCAATATATATCTCTCGTGGTGGCTCGATTTCCTTCATCTGCATATCCCTAAGGAAGCTCTCACCCTCTTTTGGTTTGCCTGCATTGACATAGGTCATTAGCATGGCGCTAAACATCTTCACATCAGGTTGGAAGCCTTGTTCTTTCAAATATTCAAACATCTTGTCTGCTTGCTCAACATTCCCTACTTTGCAGTATAATCGAACCATAGTTATTGATGTAAGGATGTCAGGTACAAGCCCATTGTCGTACATCTTTTTCACAATTCTTTCAGCATCATGGAATTGATTCCCTTTAGCATATGCATCAAGGAGCTTCCAGTAGTCAAGTTGATTTGCTTGGAAGGACTCTTCGCCAAGAACATATTCTGCAATCTAAATACATCAATTCAAAAAAGATGCTAGTAAGAAGAGGCCAAAGACCACTAAAGAATGTGAGTCGTCAGAGGGGAAATTTAGAAAATGCATGAAAGTGCTGAGAGAAGATAGTCTTAGATAAACACTTGCACCATGTTCATTGGGAGGAATTTAAATTCCTTTCCCTCCTAATTCTAAAGTCAATTTTACCCTTCTTTGGTTGGATCTTTGGTAGTATTTTGATTTCCACAGAATCTAATTCCATAAAAATATGAAATTTAAAATATTTGACACATCCAAATATTTGCAATTCTAGTACTTCTAGAGCTTGAAAAAAATTATATGGTAAGTGAGGACATTTGACCCCTAGTAAAATTGGCTTCTCTTTCTCTCATATATCCTAACAAACCCTAGCTACATTTCTACCATGTTTTATATTATACTTATGAAAATTATTTCAAAACATACCAACTATCACTGGTCAATCAATAATAATACATACTATAGAATTTACTATTTTACACCCCCAACATACTTAGATTTAAATTCCTACTCAAGTCATCAATGAATTTGTGGGTAAGCTGCATGGGGCCAAAACTTTAACTCAACTTGATATCCGCTCTGGATATCAGCAGATACTCACTTAACGGGGGAGGGGGGGTATGTTTGAATATATTTATGTGAAAATAACTAGAGTACATTTATATAAAATACATGATCCAACTACAAAAATGATTATTTTTAGTCTTCAACTAACAACTATTAGTAAATTTGTGAAAAAAGTCATCCTCCCCTCCAGAATCCCTGACCCAAAAGCCTGTAGGATTCAAATACGTGTAAATTAGAGGGGTTTTCACCCTTATTTATAGATTTGAAAGCTAACATAACCAAACTAAATACATATTACAAAAAGCAGGTCTCGTGAAAAATGTGTGTTTTTAAGCATCTAATCAATCGCTACTCTGCAGAAATTGGTAGTTGGGCTACTGGAATAAAAGGTCCGCTCCAATCCTGGTCGCACTGTTTTTTCCAGAAGTATTTATTGTTCATTTCGTAGGATTCAAGAACGTTTATAAACTTAAACAGATTTGCTAAAAATAATGATATAATTTGTGCATGATACCTTCTGCCCAAAAATTATGAATTTTAATGATAAATTCATATAAATCCCACAAGTCATTTAACAAGAATTTTGAGGACCAAAATCGATCACAAGAGAAACAAAATAAACATTCAGTAGTCACTGATTTAATGTCTTCTGGACTTTAAAGCATAGTGATTTAACTAAAGTTTATAATGTAAAGTTTATGATTTACTAATTTAATGTGTCCTAGACTTTAAAAATTAAAACATATCAGTTAGTTGCATACTTAATCACATGTTTAAAACATCAAGAAAGATTATATTACGGCTTCTGATTTTAAGACTATCATAAAGATTACAAATTGGCTGTAGGACTTCTAGTATTTGAAGTCTTGTAGTTATAAATTGGAAGAGGAAGCGGTCCAGCCCAGCTGGTCGCCGACTCACTCTCCCTTACGGGAGGTCTCGGGTTCGAAACTCAATGGGGTGAGTATACACACACACACACACACACACACACATATATATGTATATGTATATACTCCATATATAAATTGGAATTTTAATATTAACTTTAATTTGCTGGGAATACAAAACAAGGTCGGTAACATATATAGTCATGCACACAGACTAGGCAAATAATTAACTTACAAAGAATAAAGGAGACAAGAGCACAAACTGCTCTATATATATAGGTCTCGGGTTCGAAACTCAATGGGGTGAGTATACATATATACACACACACACACACACATACATACATACATATATATATATATATATATATGTATATGTATATACTCCGTATATAAATAGGAATTTTAATATTAACTTTAATTTGCTGGGAATACAAAACAAGGTCGGTAACATATATAGTCATGCACACAGACTAGGCAAATAATTAACTTACAAAGAATAAAGGAGACAAGAGCACAAACTGCTCTATCTATGATTGGAGCAAAAGCGCGGGAATCAAGCGCGACAGAGCATAGGGAAAATACTAATAAACTGAGAGAAGTGGGAAAATATGAAAAGATTAAGAGAAAGGAGGTGAAAAAAACTTGTGGAAAAGAGTGCAACATGCGAAGTGAAAGGGAAGAGTTTGATGTGTGATAAATAAGATGAGATGGAGTGGTTTTGGACTTTGGAAGTACGTGACATCTTATTAGATACTTCCCAAATAAATTGCATATAATAATGCAGGGAAGAGTTTGATTTGTGATAAATGAGAAGAGATATAGTGGTCTTGGACTCTGGGAGTACCGCGCTGCAAAAAAGAATATAGGAAACTTACGGAAAATAAACCGTCAAATTTACGAGAATCACTGGGGCGGCTAAACTGTTCGCCTCCTGAGGCACAAAAGCGCTGAAAGAAGCGAGGAAAGCGCACGCTTTGTGGAATCTGCTGCACCTAAGTTTTCTGTTGCGGTTTTTCCATCGCGGCTCTACGCCTTGCGCCTAGTCGCGCTTTTTTAAACTAAGATACAACTATTCAAACACAATCCAGGAAAAGTATAAAGCATAAACCAAATAAATGTGGTGTGTGTGAGGACATACCTTGAAGTATAAATGACCATTATG